TATGAGGTTTCCGGGGTGCATTTTCAATGATTACCACTAACTATTTGAGATGCACCACCTATATTTTTGGTGTTATTTTCTGTTGTAAAAGAAAAGAAGTTGCAAATCGAAAAAGGCGGCCAGCCACTTGCACTGCCTCTATAGGCGTAGAAAAGATTAAAAATAAAGTTACAGCTTTGCCACAAAGGCGAAGCAATAAACGCGATAGCAACAAATTGGAAGGTTACGCGAAGAATGGAAAGCAGATCGAAACGCTCCCCGCGTTTTTCACGCATAAATGAAGTACGCAACGTACTTACAGGTACAGATGAACGTGAAAAACTTATGATTTGATATGTAAGGTTGAACGTCCCAAAATCACCATATGATTATGAGAGACGCCATAGTGGAGGGCTCCGGGAATTTCGACCACCTGGGGTTCTTTAACGTGGACCCAAATCTGAGCACACGGGCCTACAACATCTTCGCCTCCGTCGGAAATGCAGCCGCCGCAGCCGGGATACGATCCCGCGACCAGCGGGTCAGCAGCTGAGTACCTTAGCCACTAGACCACCGCGGCGGGGCTCGAAAAACTTTTGACAAACGGCATAGAACCCACAAAACGTGCATTGCCGCTGGATACCTAGCTGTGTCTCAAGAAGCTTTCTCGGTGTCCATGTATGTATACTCGTGCGCATGTTGTGAAGCGCAGTTCGCGACTGTGGCAGGAATGACTGCACAAAATCAGTTTTCCTGAAAAGGCAAAGCGATGATTGCGATAGCGACAAATTGCTATGTTATACGAATTGAGGCTGGCAGACAACTCATTCAGATCCGATCTCACGTAACTCTACAAAACGTTGGTGTAAGAGTACACGGTTGCTCCAGGCATACGTACACTCTTGGCATCGTTTTTTCGTGTTGAGAGCGCAGCCGGTACAAGATCCCGCCTGCTGTGGGGGCACAAGGAGCGCGCTGATCGCTGCCGCGATAGCGCGGCAACCATAAGCGCTGCTGCCCCTCCCCGCCCCCTTGTTCGCTCACGAGATAAGCGCGCACGCAGATGACCGTGGCCGGAAAGGCGATGTTCGCTCAAGACTGTCCATATAATTGCTATCGCAATAAAGAGCTACGCGAAAGGCAACACGCCGTGTATAATTGCAGGCGTTTCGAGATGTGTTCGACGAACGTTCGGTTTACATGATGACTGTAAAGTTGATAATTATTGGGTTTGAAAAAGAAGCACAACCAACAACTAGTATTATTATTAATATTAAAAACTCTGATGTAATTTTTAGGAGGGTGCTAAGAGCATACAGTTGGTTTCATCTAGGTCGAAGGTTTTCCAGAGACGATATGCAGCCAACTAATTTCGAACATCGTTGCATGATCGTTTTTTTAAGCAACGATAATAAGAAGTCATTTAACCCTGCGTATGGTTGATAAAATTCTAAATGAAGCGTTAGAAGTGTATTTTGCACAATAATTAAATATGCCAGGTAATGATCCCCTTTACCCACTGGAAAACTGCGAAATTGTGTGAACACAATGAGATCCCACACCCACAGTTTATGCTTTACGCGTTTAGGTTAGGTTCGTCGGTGAAGAAATAGCAACCGAAGAGATTGTTTTAATAAGGGGAGTGCATAACCTGTGGATTCATTTCCGGTGTCCCATCCAAGGCCTAATTTATCTCCCTTTAGGCATGTACGTCCCGCTAATGGTGTTGCCTTGTTAAAGCACTCACAACGCGAATGTTTTTTTTTGTTACTTTTACACGTGCCGACTCCTGAGTGGAACAGGGAACGCAGTGACACTTGCTTCCAAAAAGTGGCCATTTATGAAATAGTAGTCGCGCGAAGGAGTTCACGTGAGAGCACAGTAATAAGCGGGCAGAGCAAACGCGTGTAAAATTGCGCCGTGGTGGGTCCATTGTGTGCTGCTATTATGTTTGACGTTAGAGACAGGAGTATACAACATTTTTTTTTCTAGCCACTATAGCAAAGTTTTACTGATGTATTGTTCAAGAAAGCCTGAATATTTTACAATAAATGTCTTTCTTAATTGCTCCAAGGTATTGTACTGTGATGTACGTGACACTCTATGCCGTATGCTATAAGTACGCGTAAATAAGCCTGGCACCGTATATACGTTATTCAGCAATATAGGAAGGCAGTGGGAGGCCAGACTGTCAGACCCGCATCCGAGTTAAGAATCATCGCAGCCTTAACGAACGGTTGTGATAGGTAGCCATAGACTGAGGTTGAATCAAGCCACCCACTTATAGAGCCCTCACCACGGCGTTTGCTTGGAAGAAACGTTTGTTCTCGTCTCCTCGTCCTTGTTACGGTCCTACCCACCACTGGTAATGGTGCTTGAAGGTCGCGGAATGAAACCCCTGCCGTGACAGCCGCATTTTCAACGGAAGCAAAAATGCTTGAGGCCCACGCACTTGAATTAATTTGCATGTTGAAGAACCCCTGGTGGTCCAAAATGTCCGGTGCCTTCTACTAATGCGTCTCTCAGAATGATATCGTGCTTTTGAGACGTAAAAGCTCATCGAATTTTATTATCTAATGTAACTAACAAAACATGGCTAAATGCCGGCTGCACATTTTAGCAGCTTCTAACTAAAAGCTTGGTTCAACTTCAAAATAATTGTGACAACACTGCCACGGCCAACGCACCTGTGGATCGCGCTTACCACACCTTTTCTGCGAGCATTTAGGTTTTGTGGTTCCTGCATTTTCGAAGGTGAAAGACATATATGTCTTCTGCGAATGTGACGTTGAGCAAAAAAAAAACACATAAATCCACCAGCATCTTCTCACGGTGAGAACTCGAGTAAAAGCGTCGCAGAGTGGGGGGGGGGGTATCGTGTGAGTGTTGTATAATTGGGTATGATTTGGAATTCTTAATTGTTATTTGGTCTTTATTATTATTATTTATTGAATGAAGGAGAAGCGTCGCCTTCAACGTCAAGCTTAGCCAAGCAAAGACGCCCTTGACTGAATTCTCGATCCAGTGCCTACATATACAGGGTGGCCAGTCAAAGGTTGTGGAGCGCGAGCAGTCGTGTTTTTATTATTTTTTTTTCTACCAGACGCTGCCTGCGTTCGTCTTGCGAAACGAGAGGGGGAAGGGGAGCGAGAGTTTTTCAGGTGCCTTCCTGGCCCAGCACGAAACTCGGGCATGAGCGTCTCTGCACAACACGCTAGGATGCGGCACGACACGCGAGACACGATCGTGCACAGTGGGGGTGTGGACGCCACCTCCACCGACGCCGAAGCAGGACATCGTGCGACTAAGAAGAAATGCTCCGCATTCAAAAGAGGCACTTCCTACAAAACATAGAAAGGGCGTGTTGAAATAGAAACACTGTATAGCTTTCTCCGCCGAGGTGAATGCGTAACAGGGAGTCTGGGATTTTGAATGCGATAGCGTTGAAGAGCCCTTTTCGCAGAAATTTTGGCGTCTTTGGTTGCGAGCGAAAAATCATCATCTTGTGCGTGAACGGAAAACCGAGAAAGATGCAAATGAAATCAATAATAAAACTTTCTCGGTCTGAACGAGGATCGAACCCAGGCCGTTTCCGTATCAAGCAGGTGTTTTCCCACACGCCTCTGCTTTGAAATATTTACAAAATACCTTCCTCTCCGTGAGAGTGCAGTAATAATAACGTTCATACTTTACAAACACATGCATCCTGTATACAGGGCTTACAATAAAACAGGCAATATCGCTGTAATGTTGCTTGGTACAAGCATAAATTTATACAGGGCGCCTGAACAAGGGACTATCATACTGACTTCGTGGTTTGAAGCCGACCACCCATTGAAAAAGGCACGCACGTTGCTGCGTGTATACCACGAAGATCGCGTAGTGGGCGCAAAAACATTTCACGCCCATAAGTGCTCGTGGTTTGAAGGATGCCACCCATTACACAGAACGCAGTGGTATGCGTAAGGTTCACTTACACAAGCCACTGTCAACTTCATCGAATGCATTGTAGTAATGCACAATTTAAAGTTCCCGAGTAATTTCATACAATAAACAGTATGCATTATGTGGCTGAAGTATAAGTCAGTCACATAGTGCATACATAATGCATATGTGCTGGTGACTGGGTGTCGGTATCGCGTGCAAGTTTTTTCCCCAGAGAGGGAAAACGAAAACAAAGCAATGCGAAGGTAGGAAAGGTTCAGAAACACAGCAATAAGTGATGTCAGAATATGAATGAAACGTAAGGTGTATTACGTAAACGAAAATTGCACAACTACGTAAAACTGACACAGAGCTTTTCTCCTGTGACAACTCCTTCGAACATTATCCACACCAGAGTTACATAAGCAGTGTCTCAGTACCACCCGATTCGTGGAAGAACGTCTTGAGTTAAAACATCTCGTGATGGCTCTGAAGGGCTGAAAAAAAAATTACCGACAACATCATGTGTATGACTGAATGCCAAAGAAGTTTTTACCAGCATCAAGACAGCTATAAATCAGTTACAAGAAAAATACGAGATGCCAGCAGCGAAAGCCAATATAAAGTCTGGCGACAATGTCACGAGGCCATAACAAATGATGAAGTGTCGGGGCTATGGATTGAAAAAGTACAGTGCCCAAGTACGTGAGGACGATACTGACTTGTAACACACTTTTGGGATGAAATATAACTCAATAAGTGTTAAGGATAAAAACATCGATGCAGCTAACATAAATGCTGATATTGTTGAGAGCGTAACCTCTGTCATCTGAAACATATTTCAGCAGTTCCCAGGCAGAACAGCTCCTTGTATGTTAGTGCAATAAACGGTGCCTTCACGCACTATTATATTGCACTAACAAACAAAGATTGCACTCGCAGATAAGTTATACACGAACAAGCACTCTTAATTTTTTTTCCTCTGCTAAACCAGGACAAGATATCTGGACAAACTCCAGAGACGTGGTGTTGGTGTCAAGACTGACCGAAGGGGCTTCACCGTCTGAGGGTATAGAGGCCCCGAGTGCTCTGTGTACCTTGGCGATGGCAATGTCAAGCGCTGGTTTGGCGATGCGGTAGTCGAAGCTGCGCGTGAGGTCTTTGCTCAGAATGAAGGTGGCCATGATCTTGGCCAGGAAGCGTCCCTCGGCGTCCACGAAGCGCGAGTCCCAGCGGGTCCGGTTGCGGGCCGGCTCGCCGCCAAGCTCGAGCTCGACGTAGTCCGGCGTAGCCGGGCTATCTTCCTCGGGCAGCGCCGCGGCCGATAGCAGCACGGCGGCCACCAGAGCCCAGCCGCGCATCGTGCCCGACTGGCGTCCGCGGCACGCGCTCGGTGTGACAGACACAGCGCCGCCGCCGCTGCCGGGCATCCCCGTGCGCATCCCTCCTCTCCCCGGCTGCCTTTCTTCTTTCTGTTGGCGGCCACCTTTCTGCTTGTTCGCCCTTCTCTTTTTTCATCTGCCCTTTTAATGTTCCCGTCTGCGCGTGCGCTTCTAGAGTGCGCGCACCGGTGGTCGACATAAGGGTGCCGCGCGGACGCTCCTGGGCGCAGTATCCTCCTCCACGCTCCCTCTCCCGTCCTCTTTTGACTTTCCGAGACATATCTGAGCGAGCGCCGTTGCCCGGACGAAATTGGGGACCTGTTGCTACTTGCGCGGACGGCGCGCCGTGCGCCGTTATTGCCCGTCGTCTTCTCCTGGAGCTGCCGTTGTCTTTGAAATCGGACTGCGCTTGAGGCTTTTCTACAAACTTTTCCCGTTTTTTTTCACGCTTCCTAACTTTTTACAATTTGAAATTTCTAGGCAAATGAGAAAACGAATGTCTTTTATTATGGCAAAGCTTATTGACCATGATGCGGCTCCGGAAAATGTCTAGTGATTATTAACAAAAAAGCAAGTTAACAAGAAAGTAAAATGGTAGCTCTCTTCGAATGACATTTACAAAGCACCTGAATAATTCTTAAATAAGTTCGTGATGTTCAGGTGCTGTTGAGTATGAAACAGCTGGTAGCTTTATACATCATGGCAGCGAAGAGCTGTAATCTTATAACACTCTTGCTCTCTACAATAAAGAAGTAATGATGCTGAACAAAATAGAAGCAAACAGTTAATATCTCAGCGCAGGGACATCAATTTAAATGAAATTGGACGTTCTTAATTTAAACACGGTCCCCTCTATTGATCGCTCTTCGGACGTCCGACAAGCGGTCCCCCAAGACATGGTGATTCGCCAAAGACAAACGAGGTGGCGCCACCAATACTTTCTGCCTTACTTGCGAAACTTTTCCCCCCGAATACGGCGTATCTGTACAGGAACCACAAAAATTCACGCTCGCATTTTTTTTTTATGAGCGGAGAGATATTGTGCGGACGCGTTTCAATCTCTCGAAATCCTTAGGAGAAATTCATATTTAGGCACACTAGGCGCTGAGACTGGTGTTTCTCTCTTTTCTAGCTGTCGTTCATAATTTCCTCTCGTGGTTTTCGACCACCTTGTTGCTTCACGCAATATGCTTGCCCCCATTCACCAATATGTAAGTAATCAAGAGACGGAAGCCAAAATCGGCAGGATATAAAAAAAAGAAACAATCGTGAATCGAAATTAAACTCTCGTTTGCTGCGCGCGCACACATACAAAAAGAAGGGGCGATCGGTGGCTACTTAAATTCTATTTCGTGCCCCCCGCTCGCCACAAGTCATCCACTGTCACATACTTCGTGACGCGGGCAACACGCATCTGCTAATATGACAACGTAAGGATGAAGGCACTAAAGATCACGAGCCAAAGGTCACGAGCTAAATATTACGATCTAGGTCACGAGATATTCAGTAACTGGTACCCCAAGAAATTCAACAAAATCGCAGCTTGTGTACTCCATCTTAAGCTAGTCCATTTTAACTGAAACTGAGAAAAACTACATGTTTTTCTACTGACAATATGTTAGAGCCTCCTCTAACAATTTCGGGCCTGTAATCTAAAGTCGCCGAAATACCTCAAATCTGTATTGGGGTTAAAACCTATGTAGCCCACTATAAACAGTTTATGGAGCAAAAATTAAGCAACCTATATAGATTTGAAAGTTTTGTTTGGGCTTAAATTGACTCATAAAAGAAGTCGAAATCACAGCAACTAAACAGTGCAGCAAAAGTTTGTGACAAAATCAACTCCATACTTGAGCTTCCGTTGGCACCGCACTTGGTCGCGTGGGCGTAATGGCCATGACTAGAGTTGTAGAGCGAGTGACCCTTTCACATGAAAGCTTCACTACTCTGGACTCTAGGTGTCGTATGCTTGATTTTGGCTTCTATTGAAGGCCTTGAAAAATGCTTCCTACTATCTAGGCTCGTTTTAGGCCACACAACTTCAGATCACCTCTTCATAAAGGGATGATGGTGCCCAACATCTTGAATTCAGTTGTCTTCTATTTCAAATATGCCGTCATACAGCGAAAGATAAACGTCACGCTGTAACGCAGAAATCGAAAACAAGCACGAATAGGCAAAAAAAGTAGCAAAGTCGGGCCTCTTACTCGTTATGTTTGCGATTTACAGCACCATGGACTTCAGTAAGGGCCAACTCGCCCGAGGAAAATAACCGTTGAACGAGAGAACGATATCAAAGCAACGCGGACACATATGATACAGGCAGATGTGGCAATGTTGGTTCTGTTGGCCATGATTGATGACGCAGTGTTCGTTTAATATATCTGGCTCAGTTAGATTGAAACTTGTGCAATATTTGGCTCACTTTCGATCCGAAATGGCATTTCTGAGTTCGAGGTGCAATCACGTGTTGCCCGATTCTGGCTACGGTTGCTACCTTATTGCGCACTGCTTAAAAGACGAACACTTGGGATGAGGTAACAATGAATAACCGCCAACTTGCCCAAAAAAGTGCCCTTATTGGCTGTGAATGTGAAAGATTGACTGAACAGCAAGAAACAACCTGGTGATACAGGGCGCAGACTTCAGCTACGGTTGCACTGACGAAAGCGGCAAGTTTACAAGATGAATAAATAAGAACCAAAGATACGCCCCCAACAATTCGAATGCGTCGAACGCCGATCACGCCGATTTTCACAGTCACCAACCGCATCGATTGGTAAAACGCTGTTATAAGAGCCAAGCAGGAGAATCCGACGAAAATGCCACTAGCGGAATATTGATTTATTCAAGCTACTTATGAAACAATCAGTAGGGCACGTGTATCTTTACTTACCAACTACACCCGCTCTGTATACGCCATACTTTCACTCAAAAAGTGACCTGTGGCTCTTGCCAGCTTAAGTTTGATCAATGAACACGTAAGGTTACAAAACGTCTCCACTCTGTGTGTGTTTTTTTTTACTTGGCCAGTGACCGCAATTTCTACGTCAATAAGATGCCCAATAATTTTTAGATGAAAGGAGGAGCACATTTATTTCACGCAATATACTGGGATAAGCACTGAATATTTGCCCGTTGATATATATTGCAAGCAACATTAAAACTGCACATTGTCACATGCGTGGAAATGAGCATATTGTCAAGTTTCAATGCAAGTATGCCTAATTACCGCAGCCCCGATTGCGCGAGCTTTTCTGCACTCTCTTATTGAGTAGTTCTGAAAGTGGGCTTTTTAATAGCTCTTGTGTTATTATTTAGAGGAGGCGATGTGGAATCACCAAAGCCTGACGTTACATTAGTTGGGTATATTCGTTACGAGCTACTTCTCATGCAGTGTCACTAGTTGTAATTTGTTCATTACGTAAACTGCAATGTGTGAGAATGTGTTATGAAACTAACAAAAAAACCCACATCTCGTGAATAATTCAAAACAGGATTCTGAACCAATACGGGGTGGTATGTTGTAGATTCTGGGCACCTGTACGAGGCACTCGCAAGCTTCGTTAAGACCTGTCAAGCCATAGGCACGAGTCAACTATGTCACAGGAAAAGCAGAGCAGTCGCGGCACCTGAGTATTGATTACAAGCTGCCCATAGCGCGCTTCGCATGCTCTTTAGTTTAACGCGGAGAAGCCAATTTGAAAAGTTCACGTCGCGACACGCGCTACTTCTCGTCGCCTAACTGCTTGTCAAGAGAGATGAAGCACAGTTATTTAATATTTTGCTTGCTTATATCCACGTGCTCTCTTACTCCCGTGTTGCATAGTTGAGAGAGCGTCGTTGTTCTTCACTTTTCAAGCTCCCACAGCTGAAGGAGAAAGACACATTTATGGGGTTTTTTTTCTCTCTCTCTCGGAAGGATGCCCTGCGCTGCATGCTTTAATAACAGGATTTTCCCACTAATATCCTCTTCTTTGTTGGTAATATATGAACCAGTGTATTGCTTGACTAACAACTTCACTGTGTTACGGTGGCCTGTGCGTTTAAACTTCATGATTGGGGCTTTCCCATGAACGCTATAGTAGGGCGACGTCGGCCCGACATTTTTCCCTTCTGTAGAGTTATTCGGCATCTGGAGTGGAAGGCGCATCCCTCTACCCTTAAAGCGTGCGTTCAGCGTGAAATTGTCACGAAACCATAATTTTTCTTAAGTGTACAGTCTCCCGCGTTGAAGTTACATATTTTCCTATGGAGATCTTTTATTTGACCCCAACAAGATATTCCAAGGCCTTTGTATGAGGTGTTCTCGCTCTTCACATTTATTATTTATTTATTTATTTGTTTATTTATTTATTTTTGTAGCACTGGTAGAAAATATCCATGTGGTACAGATATATGTACATTCCGAAATTGTGTTCGTTGAGCCCAGAAGGTAAAACATTCACCTTCAGAGCTCAGTTCCCTAGGTTCGGAACCCAGTGCCACCGACAAAATTTATTCCGTTTTGTACATTTATTTCTTTATAGTGGTGCGACTGTGAAGACACCAAGGGACCATGGATGTACGGACAGATTATAGAGTCAGCATAGAAATGCCCTGGATTAAAAAAAAGGGATTTGTGCTTTTGCATTGGATAATGCGGCATGTGTTGCGTCTGCATACAATGCAACGCAGCAAAATCGAGGCATTGTTTTTCTCAAGGGTTTCTTCCATGCTTTGAGAAACTGTCATTCTCCCTTTCGCCCAGTAGTCATGGCTGGATTATTTATCAGGATGTTGTAGGTGGCCGGTGTTTCATGTAGTGTGCCCATATTAAAGCACTTACGTTTGCTCAGCAAAGGGCGAAAATTCGGGAGATCCCATGTTTCTTGGGAATCGATGTTATGCGAAGAATGCGGATTATGAGCGACTGTGTTGTAATTTTTTATATAGCGAAACGTAATGAAATGGGACTAAAGATAAGTGCAGATGCACGCACAGACTTACGTTAAACAGACGCATATGTTTCATTCAACTAGTTCTTCACAGTAGTGTAACAATGCCAA